GGTGAACTCGGGAGGGAGGGGGAGGGGACCAGCCGGCGCCTCTTCCTGGTCACGTGCCCCGCTGGGCCAAGGTGACCAATAACTGGCTGATTATGGCACTGGGGTTAATCATTAGCCTTCCCAGGAAGATGGGAGGGGGACACATGGGGCGGTGGCCACGTGGGGGCCAGGAGGGGCGGGGCTGAGTGGCACGTGGGGCCGGGGGTGCAGCGGTCTGCCCAGAGCTACCTTGCAGCAGACCGGCGCCGCCTCTGAGACCCAGTCAGAGGGGGGGTTGCTGGCTTAGAGACCCAGGCTTCCCAAAGTTCCTCTCTCGCTGAGGCTAAACAACAACCCGGGTCTTCAGGACACAGAGCCTCAACTCCCTCCCTAGGACCAGAAGCTGTCTGACACCCCCCCCACACACAACGGATACCTGTCCCAGACTCAGTGCCCCACGCAAGGCCCGGAGCGGGGATGGCAGTGCCCCTCCCAAGTCCCTCACAGGCTCCCCTCCCAGGCCTCTCCAGACACACACGCCCCTGTTTGACACACCCGCACCCTGGCCAGAGCCCCGGGTGTGATGGTGTAGAGGGACAGAGGGGCAGCGGGCAATACTCACAGTGCGGAAGGAATCTGCGCCCGAGGCGGGGCGCCGGGGGGCGCTGCTCATGGCCAAATCCTAGCCCTTCTCGCTGTAGCTGCGGCTTTCAGGGCAACAAGGCGGCGGCATAACCTGGGGGGGGGGCAGGGGACGAGCAATCACTGCATGAGAGAGGTGCCAGGCCTGCAGGGGCACCCCAACATTGCACAGCCAGGGGAGGGCAGGGCACGGGGCTTCACGGAAGTCCGCTGGCCACGAGGGGTCTCCTGGTTGCACAGGATCCTCCCAGACTATGAAAGGCCTTAGAGTGGCCCTTGGAGGGTGGGGGGAGAAAAGAGAGTTATTTATGGGAAGAAAAGAGAGGAACAAAGAGAGACAGAGGCAAGGACTGAGGCACAGGAGGCCACAGAGGGCCAAGGGACGAAGCGGAGTGAGGGGGAGAGAGGCGGGGGTGGGAGATGCTGGGGGAAAAAAAGGCAGACAGGAGTCAAGGCCCAGACCCGGAGAGAAAGCAGCGGAGATCAGGGAGGGGAGACAGAGGAAGCAGGGAGGAGAGGCCGAGCCAGAAACGGGAGCGGTGGGAGCGGTGGGAGCGGTGGGAGCGGTGGGAGCGGTGGGAGCGGTGGCACGGCACGCTGAGGCGGGCTGAGACCAGAGAGGGCTGTGCTGGGGGGAGTGAGACACCCCTTGAGGCAGAGACAACGGGCGGATGAAGGAAGGGAGAAAGAGAGCTCTGCAGAGAGCCCAAAACAGCAAGCAAGGGGGCTGTTCATGGGCCCCCTCCTCTGAAAAAAGCCCAGCCCCGAAGTGGGGGGGAGGCTCCCTGGGGGAGGGGCAGGAGCCCAACTCCACTCACTCAGTGGGAGGGAGGAAGGGAGGCTGGCAGGCACAGGCCGGGCACGACTTTATAATGGGGGAGGGGCACGTGACGACCAGAAGGAGGGTGGGCACAGAAACTCCGAGGTTCTGCCCTCAGGAGCGGTCCAATCCCTCCCCTCCCCAAGCCTAGGGCCAGGAAAATCTGAGTGGCAGGGCTGACGCCCTCCTGACCGTGACTGTAGGGGTGTCTGGGGAGGACACTGTGCGGGGGGAGGGCAGCAAAAGAGCTGCGGTTAGGGAACCTGATCAGTGCCAACTGGGGTACTTATTCCTAGTGGGGGCAGTGCTGGGGACACCCAAGGCTCTGCGACGGCAAAAGTACCGAAGCTCCCCAGTGTGTGTCACTGGGGGGTCAGGGTTACCAGATTTAGGGCCACCTCGGGGGTAAGACAGGTCAGTGCAGGGTCAAACAATGTAGGTCTGGGGGTCAGCCCGGGGTGGGGAGCCGGGAGCGACACATTCCTGGCCGGCCTCCAACTCAGCTGACTGCCCTCTTCACCTCCCCCTAGCAGGCCCTCCGCCAGGTCAAGTCTGGTGCGGGGGAGAGGGGTGCTGGGGAAGGAAACCCGGTCCGGGAAGGGGTGCCGGCACCTGCCGGCGCCACACGCCCCGCTCCAGGCTGTGCCCTCAGGGCGCTCCTCCATCCTCCCCTCCTCCCTTTACCTCCGCCCCCCGCTTCGCCCCCGCCCCCACCATCCCAGAACACAAAGCAGCCTCTGTCCAGAGCATCGAGGCCGATAATCCGGGCTGGGGGCACATTCCGGGGACCAGCCCCGACCGGCCCGGAGGATTAGCAACTCTCCCCTGCCCAGGGGATTAGCACTCCGGACCCCCTTGGGGGGCATTAACCACCCCCCAGGTGAGTTCGCACATTCCACAGCTCTTCGATGTGGGCCTGGCGGGAGTGGGGAGCGAAGGGAGGAGGGAAAAGTGGACCCTGGATTTCAGGCGGCGCCGCCCCCCACACCCAGCACAGAGCTCCCCACCCAGACAAGCCAGCCCCCCAGGAGCCAGGTCGAACTCTCCGCGCTCGCCTTCCCCATCCCCACCCAGCTGCTCCCTCTTCTGCCTGACCCCTTGTCCTCACCTGACCCGCCAACCCCTTCCCGGCTCCGCCTCCCAACCCCGAGATCGGGGGCAGAGGCTTGGGGCAACTCCTGGGCAGAGCACCCTGGACGGGCATGAAGGATAGAGTAGGGGACCAAAGGGGAGGGATGTCGTCTTGGAGTCCGCCCAGGAGTTGGGAGGGCCGGCGGCGCCTCCCGGAGAGTACCCCCTCCTGGTGGCAGGGGGCGCGGCACCCTCGCTTTAGGGAACTCTTAAGAAGCGGACCCTGGATCCCGCTTCCTACCAGCAATCACTCCTCTCGCCTCCCCATCCTTCTCCCCAAGACCTCGCTTCCCCGCGCCCCAGTCTCCGCCCTTTCCTGCACTTCCACTCCCTCCCAGCTCCGAGTGCCGAGTTCCCCCCTTTCCTTTCCCCTCCCTTCCTCCCTCCGCGGCCCTGGCCCTCCCCCTCCGCCACCTCTCCGCTTACCCGCTTCCTCTGGACTTCGTGCTGCAGGGGTCTCGGGGTCTCTCCCCCTTCTCTGGCGCCCTCGCGCGCTCCCGACGACTCCCCCGTGCCCACCTTGGGGCGCGCCCCCGTCGCTGCCAACTTCTCCCAACTCAACTTTCCCCCGCGCCACAGGCAGGCCAGCCCCCTGCGTGCGCGCCCCCTGGCGCACCGTGCGCGGCCCCGCCGCAGCGGGTTGGGAGGCGCGGAGTGGGGGCCGAGACCCGGGGGCGGAGGCGCGCTCCCAGGCACGGCCGGGCGCTGTGAGCCCAGCGCCTAGGAGGCCGCCCCGGCTGTCCCTCGGCGCGGCCCAGCGAGGTTGCCGCCCGGGGCTTCCCCGCACGGGCGCCCCGGGGACGTCGTTTCTTGGCCCCATTAGGCACTTCTGGGCGGAAAGGGGCCCGCCTCATGCTGGGGATCCCAGGCAGGAAAAAGGAGGCACAAAGATGATCAGAAAATTCGAGGCGGAGGAAGTTGAAATATGAATGCATCGGGGTCGAGCTTCTCTCGCGGCCGCGGGCGTCCCCCGCCTCCCACCCGCAGTTTCCCCAGTGCCTCCAAGAAAGCCCCTGTCTTTGCCTGGAGGACAGGGACGGGAGCGGGGGGAGCGCGAGAGGGGTGATGGCGGGGATGGATGCCCATTACCCTGAACTGACTTAGACTTTACGAACCGGGGAAATTCTGCCTCGGAGAGATTCCCTGCGGTGACCTTCCTTCTCGAACCCTATTCATAGTCATCACCTGTCATTTAAAGATCTCTGTGTGTACTTCTGGTTTTCTAATAAGTTATAACTTGTTCCAGATAAGGAATATACGTTTCGCTTCTTTAGTCTGCCACGGGCTGAAGCACTGCAATGTGTATGCAGAAAACGTTCAGATATAAACGAGTTAATTAACAAATGTTTAGCACCAACTTTGGTTCCGGCGCTGAGGAGTGCTGTTTGGGGCAGTTATCATCCAGTTCACATCCCTCAAGAATGCAGTCATGAGACAGTTAGAGAGAAGCCGCAAGAAAAATCTATAATCAACTCCTTAAGGGATGAGGTCAAGGCTGCTTCAGGTGTAGCTTCTGTCTGTCCTTCTGTCTGTTGAGGGCAGTAACCAACCTGCCAGCCCTCGGCCACACCCTGGCCGACTCCAGTGGGCCCGGGCTCTGCAGGGGGCGGAGACACCCTCCCAGTGTCCAGCCAGCTTGCCTCGGGATATCAGAGTGTAGCAAAAGGCTGGAGTTGGGTGGGCTCCGAGACGACAAACGGGGCTCACAGGAGAGAGGAGTCTCTGGCGTTTGGTGAATCCAGTCTCCACTGGGGCACACCTGCCTCTCTTTCCAGCCCTGCGGTCAGCTGGTCCATGTGAAGTCATCGTCAGCAAGATATGGCTCAGAGCCATTCCCCAATCAATCCTGAGGTCACCAGATGGCCCAGATGGAAACCCGTGCTGAGATTGTCAGGGAGTCGATGGAACCTCAGTACCATCAACCGGGGCAGAGCAGGGCCACCTGGGCTCAGGATGCAGGCCGCCAAAACCCAAACCTTAGAAAGCGCCCTACCCCCACCCCTGCTGCCTCCTGGAACGTGTAGTCCCGGAGAGGTCCTTCTCAAAAGAAGGTTGTAAGCGCTGAAAAGGAATAACACTAGCAGGGCACACTGGGAGCCGCGCGCGACGGCGGGGAGCCGGGAAAACGGACACGCGATGCTTCCTGGGACTTGAAGTCCAAGGGTTGACTCCGCGGTCGAACAGGAGTCCCGGGAGGCAAGTGCTGCAGAGAGCCTGAGCGCAGCCTGCTGGGTGTTGTAGTCCATTTGTTGTCTAAGGCCCCGGACATTACTGGGAAACCTGGCGCCCTAGGACTACAAGCCCGAGAAGCCCATGCGCAGGCAGTGGGGCGGGGCAGGAACGGAGGCTGGGGTGCCGCCTCCTCTGCAACGCCGGGCCCGGAGTCTTAGAACCCAGGGCCCGCAGGGGTCCTCGCGCGGCTGCGGCGATGCAGAAGTACGAGAAACTGGAGAAGATTGGGGAAGGTAATGGGACCACGAGATGTTCTTGCAAGATCTCCTTCTGCAGACCCTTTAGCATTCCTTGCATCCCGGGCTGCTGTACCGTCAGCAATACCCACAGACTCCAACCTCAGCACTGGCTGCAACCCTGGCCCTGAGCTCAACACTCCTTGCAGCCACCAATCCTCCCCCGTTAGCATTTCCCATAGACGCCCCCCTCCCAACCTTAGCACCCCGGTAGACCCACCTCCGACCTCTGCACGTGCTGCATTTCCTACCCCTGTCCTCAGCGCCACTTGCAGAACCTCACCCACAGTTCTCGCAGCAGACCTCCAACCTCAGCGTTCCTGCCGGCCCTCATTCCTCTCCCAGACCCCTGCTCCCTATTTTCAGACCCTCCAGAAGCTCGGCCTTTATTGTAGACCTCCTTACCCAGCAGCTGCAGCCTCTCCCTGTTGCAGACACCCTTGAGCCATCTGCAGGCTCCTCCCTGCCACATCCCCCACTTCTCCAGACATCGGAAGTAACACACCCCCACGCTGCTTGCTCTCCCGGCAGGGACCGCCTGGGTTGGGGAAGGGTGCCCCATCCTTTCCCTCAGCCCTGACCTCCGTCCTCTAGGCACCTACGGAACAGTGTTCAAGGCCAAAAACCGGGAGACTCATGAGATCGTGGCTCTGAAACGGGTGAGGCTGGATGATGATGATGAGGTAGGACTGGGGTATTGGGGCCAGGGAGGGGTTGAGGGCCTAGGCTCGGTGGGATGTGACTGTGGCCCAACTGGCCCCCTCCAATGTGTAGGGAGTGCCGAGTTCTGCCCTTCGGGAAATCTGCCTACTCAAGGAGCTGAAGCACAAAAACATCGTCAGGTGTGTAGATGGGTGGGGTCCTCCTTGCCTGTGTGGTCCGGTGGTGGGGGCTTCAGAGATGGGCTGGGATGATACTGGGATAGAAGGTGCGGACTTGGCCCTGCCTGGCTGAGCACTCGCTTCTCCCTAGGCTCCACGACGTTCTGCACAGCGACAAGAAGCTGACTTTGGTTTTTGAGTTCTGTGACCAGGTGAAAGGGGGACTTGAGGGACAGTAGCCTTGGGAAGATATAGGGACCCAGACTGAGGTTAAACTCTATCCCGTCCCCCACCCCCATCCCTTTTTTAGGACCTTAAGAAGTATTTCGACAGCTGCAATGGTGACCTAGATCCTGAAATTGTGAAGGTGAGGATACTGGTTTCCTGGGAGCTCACTGAGGCTGGGGTTGGCATCCGGATTCAGTGGACGTGCTCTCAGGCCCTGCACGGGGACACTCGGGGCACGAGGGGAGGAGAGAACCCTGGTTCTGCCTCCGAGAGCTTCCATCTTAGCAAAGGCACTTTCACGTGATCGCTTTGACCTGAAGGGAACACTCTGATGTCAGTGATAGGATTTACATTTGAGAGGCAGGAAAATGAGGTTCAGAGAGATTCATTCATTCAACAAATACATACTGAATGCTTTGCAGTGTGCTAGGCACTGTTCTAGGCCCAGGTTCCAGGGCAAACAAGTGCTGAATAATAATACAGCACAGTATATACGTTGTTGATTATGATGTTCGTGTTCAAATGAGGCCAGGTAGGGGAGAGATCAGTGTGGGCTAGAAAGGTAGGAAGGCCCACCAAGTTGTCAGTTCCGGAAAGGTGGGGACCGGGGCCCCCGTTCACCTTTCGAGTACCCAGCAAAGAACAAAGTAGGTCCTCGATAATGAAGGGGTGATGCTGGGCCGAGCTTCGTGCTGAAAGACTTGCTGGGGTTTCAAGGCAAAGCAGAGGGGAGCGTGACCCATCGTTGGGCCCCCTTCCCATCCAGACGGTTCGATGAACTCCTCCCTGCCCCTCCCCCAGTCGTTCCTCTTCCAGCTGCTAAAAGGCCTGGGATTCTGTCACAGCCGAAACGTGCTACACAGGGACCTGAAGCCTCAGAACCTGCTCATAAACAGGGTACCTCTGGGCGAGAGGACAGGACCTCAGGGAGGCTGGCGTGGGATGAGGGGAGCTGGACGGGAAGGCGGGAGCGGGGGGGGCTGCCCTCAGACTGTGGAAGAGCCCCTCTCCGTGCCCCTCCCCCTCCCCCTCAGAATGGGGAGCTGAAATTGGCTGATTTCGGTTTGGCTCGCGCCTTTGGGATCCCTGTTCGCTGTTACTCAGCTGAGGTGAGCTGCCAGGCTGGAAGTGGGGGTGAGGGAGGGAGTCCCCAGCCAGCATCCCTCAGCTCCTCCGGGACTCCTCTCTGAGCGCCCTCCTCCCCAGCCCTCAAACTGGGGGTCCCTGTGGTGGGGTCCTTTCCAGGTGGTCACGCTGTGGTACCGCCCACCGGATGTCCTCTTTGGGGCCAAGCTGTACTCCACGTCCATTGACATGTGGTCGGCGGGCTGCATCTTCGCAGGTGACACGCCGGGGTCTGAGGGGGCACTCTGTCTCCCGTTTGAGTGAACAAAGAGGGTCTGGAGGGTCCCCTCGGGGGAAGGGAGTGAGGCCCCTGGGTGGGGAGGAGGCAGGGCACGGCTTTGGGCGGGGCTTCTTCGCCTGTCACCGCCCCCCCCACCCCCCCCACCCCACCCCAAGCCACCATCACCAGAACTATCACTATAGCCCGCTGGTGTCGCCTTTATTCTGCTGTGGCTTCCCCACCATTTATTCTCAACCCAGCAGCCAGAGTGATCCTTTTATAATGTATATAACATGGTCCCTTTGCCCTGTTTAAAACTTCTAATGACTTTCCAATCACAATTAAAATAAAAACCAACTTCTTTCCCAGCTCACAAAGTCCTAGGTGATCTGCCCCTTGCTTTCCTTTCCACCCACGACTTGGGCTACTCTCTTCCTCATACACTATACTTTGCCACAAAAGCCTTGGTTAAGCTCCTCTAACACACACTGAAGTTCTTGAGCATGTTTTGTCTTTTGCATGCTGTTCCCTAGAGTTAAACGCTGGCTAGCCCGAACCCCTCCAATCTTTGCCCGCCTCTCTCCCAGAGCTGGCCAACGCGGGGCGGCCCCTGTTTCCTGGCAACGACGTAGATGACCAGCTGAAGCGGATCTTCCGATATTCTTCCATCTCCCTTCACCTCAGGCCCCCGAGGAGGGGATCTGCAAGCCCCTGGAGCTCAGAGTGCAGGCAGGGAGGGCGGCGGGGGGATGGGCTAGGCCTGGGGGTGCCTCAGGGCTTCTCCTGAGGGCAGAGGGTGGTGGACGCCCTGGTTGTCACGGGGCAGGTGCCCGCCGCCAGCTGGAGAGCGTGCAGCCTGTAGGCAAGGAGGGCTCACTCCTCCAACTGAGAGCCGAATCCTTAGGCTGAAGGAGTTGAAAGGAGCAGGGGGACAATTAGTGAGTGGGGGACCGCTGACCGCTTCATCAGGACCACGGACCTCAGGGTTTAAGTCAAAGTCGTTAACGGCTGTACAGCACCTGGCCTGCAGAAAACAGCATGCAGCTGGGACTGCATATGAGGGTCGCATGGGCCGGGGGCCGCCTTCTGTCGTGAGCTGGGGGATAAAGAGAGGGGGGCAGGGGTGGGTATGAGGAATCCCCCTTCCCCAGGGGAAGAGCCCCTTACCTGCCCCTTTGCACCTGAGTGATCCTTGACCCCGTGGACACGCTGCTGGGGACACCGACTGAGGAGCAGTGGCCCGCCATGACCAAGCTGCCAGACTATAAGGTGTGATGGGTAATGGGCTCATGCGTGGTTCATCAGTGGCCCCCCCTTAGGTCCTGGCCCTAGCAGCCTCCACGCCCCCGCACCCCTGGCTGACTCACCCTGCCCCCCACAGCCCTACCCGATGTACCCAGCCACAACGTCCCTGGTGAACGTCGTGCCCAAGCTCAGTGCCACAGGGAGGGACCTGCTGCAGGTGACCAAGGGCAGGGTACGGGGGCTGGGGCCGGGGCACTTGTCGGGAGGGACCCGGGGAGCGCGGGGCTCTGGGCGTGAACCTGCCTCGCCTTCTCCTGTGCATCCAGAACCTCCTGAAGTGTAACCCGGTCCAGCGCATCTCAGCAGAAGAGGCCCTGCAGCACCCCTACTTCTCTGACTTCTGCCCCCCCTAGGCTCCAGGCCCCTGGCGGCCAGGCTGGGGCCTGGCCTATTTAAGCCCCCTCTGGGGAGGGGAGGGAAGGCAGGGATGCACGGTGTGCCAAGCTCCAGCTGTGCTGGGCCCAACCAGGGTGGAGGTGCCCTAACCCGCGTTCTTCACTCCCTCCGTGGACTTTATTTAATTTCATAAATTTCCCACAGTCTGGCTGATGTGCTGGTAAAGTGGCTCTGGGGGGTGGGGGCGTGGTGCTGGGGTGGGGCCTGAGGCTCTGTTTCGCTTCACCACCCTCTGCAACCCTGCTTCCAGCTCCAACACAACCCAACTGTCCGGCCCTGGCTCTGCTACTCTAAGTGGCTGGAGGCTGGGGGTTGGAGGCTATGACCCTAACCCTTAGGTCTGCACCAGGGGCAGCGCTGCCACCACACATGTGCGTATGTGCTCGTGCCCTTCCTTTTCTCTGCCCAGGAGGCGTTAGGCTCCCAGTGTCTGAGAGCAAGGATGGGCTTCCACCAGAATGGGGAGAAAAGAGCCGGGCCTTTCTTTATGGTTCTTGTCCCACGTGTACCCACCCTGCCTCTTCCCTCTTCATGCCCCCCACACCCAGGCCCTCAGGCTGGGACAGGAGGCACCCAAAGCAGTAGTTGGGAGCACCCCCTCCCCGGCTCCCTTATTTGTCATTTTCCAGTATTTAGGGTGCCGAGAAGGAGCTGAGAAACCGGGCCTGGGCGTGTGCTTACTCGCAGGGGTGGGAAGGGAGGACCTGGGCTCCCCCGCCCAAGCTGGGGCCTGCAGCTCTTGTGCGAAGGCTGCGGAAGCAGGAGCGGTTCCTGTGCGGGGCGGGCAGGCTGACACTCGGTCCCAAGTGTGAGAAACAGTCATGAACTCCTAAGACAGGACAGCAGCTTGTGTTCTTGGAAGCGGGCTAGCCACGCCAGCTTCTCCCACCTGCTCCGCAGCTTCTTGCCAGGCTCTGGATCGGAGCCTTCTGCCAGCCCTTCCCTGATCGGACCCCAAGTGCGGCGGTCCTAGCACCGCCGCCTCTGCCTTCACACCCGGCTTTGGGCTCCGTTCACTCTGAGATGTCGGTTTGACAAACTCATTCACACTGAGGTTCAAGTGACCGATGCCCACTTACTATTCTTCTCTCGTAGAGAGATTTCTGGAGGTTAACATTTCAGACCTCACGTCTGCTGGATGACGGCTGGCAGAGGTCTTGTGCCCGAGTAGGGCTGACTGTGGCCTGGCTGGTCTGCCTGTAAGTGGAACAGCTGAGGCTGAGGCACTAGAACTTTATTTGGGGTGAAGGTGGAAAGACACGTGCGGGCTGGCCACGTCCAGGACGTCAGGGTGCGGCCCTGAAGACACAGATGCCCCATCTAGAGCTGGGTGACGAGGTAGCAGGTGCGTTGAGAGGAAGACAGCGTCTTGGTGACGGCACAGGGAGCGGTGGGAGGCCTGGGGAGACACGGACCACGGCCCTGGGACAGGAGGCCTCTCACCCACTGCCCTGCCCCTGCCCTCTGGACTGGACCTGCCCCATCTCCCTTGACCTTAGGGGGCCATTTCTTGTTACCTGGAGCCCAGGCTGAGGTGGGGAACTGGGGTTCGTTGGCTGCCCAGCCCTTCCTGAAGCTGTGGGAGGAGGGTCAGAGATTGGGGGTGGTGGCAGCGGGGATCCTCCCTCCCAGAGACCAGCCAAGGTCACTGCACGCCCCTCCCCCATCACTTTTTCTCAGCTGGGTAGGGGGGCTGTTCTACACTTAGGAGGAGGGGCTGCGCACCACAGTGGAGATGGCAGGGGAGGAGGAGGGGGCTATTACCAGGTTGGCGCTGGAGTGCCTTTGGGAGCGCTTTCGGTTCCAGAAGTAGCCCAGGACTCTGTCCCGGAACACCTGGGGGACGCAGTGCTGGAGGTGGCCAGCGCGTACCTGCCCCCTGGATCCTGTGGCTTGACTCTGCCCACCTCCCACAGCTGGAGCCCAGGCCCACCCACCTCACAGAGGTAGTCCAAGATCTCAAGGATAGTGAGCAGGCTGGCGCCGATGAACAGCCCCATCTGGCCCCCAATGTCACCTGTGGAGACCGGGTCACCTGTCAGCTCACTGCTACCTGCTCTGCCCACACCTCCCCACACTGCAGGTTGCCTGCACGCGCACACGCACGCACACATGCACTCACACACAGACATGCACACACGCGCGCGCACACACGGACATGCACACAGACGCGCGCACACACACACGCACGCACACGCACGCACGCGCGCACGCACCGAGTAGCTCCGACATTTCGTAGGCCTTCTTCTGCTCCACCGTCTCGTAGTTGAGGGCCTCAAAGAAGATGTCCAGCATCAGCACATTCTCCCTGGAGGAAGAGAGGCCAAGAGTGTTCGCTGGACGCCCCTAGTGCCAGCAGCTGGCAGGAACAGGTGCCCCATTCTCTGGTCTCTGAGTCCTTTCATGAGCCCAGGGGAGGGGTGTCACCGTCCCCATTTTCGGAAGA